CCCCCCCGCCCCCCCAAATTCCACCCCCCCCCCCCCCCCCCCCCCCCCCCCCCGGTGTTCAATGACCTTGACGTCTTTGAAAAACGCGACCTGGGGCTGTACTGTGTTTTACCACAAAATACCATTTTAATGTCAGTATGTGCGTCATACCGTGAAACAATTGCTTTAAGTCGAGACTTATAGTAATGACCATCAGCGTGTCGACAGATTCAATTGTGTGTGTGCATATTCAATCAATAGTTTTAATACCTTATCGAACCGTGGACAAGGAAGCGCGGTGTGGAATGTTGAGGCAAACCAAATTTCGGTTTCGGCCGAATTGTCGTTTGATAACTCTTCGGCGTAGTTACTGTTTCGGCCGAAACAGAAAAGTTAACTTTCGGTTTATTTTCGGTTTCGGCCGAAAGTATTTAAGGCTTTTGGCCGTCTACCAGCACTCGGGGCAGTCACTATGTCTGTCTTTCGCTCGGCAATCCCAAACTCATTGCTCAACGCCTTGCTGTCATCGTGTGATATCTGACTAATCCTCGGGGAACACTGCTCTCAGATGCACGTTGACGTAATAGGCTTTGTCATTTCTTAGACCGGAAAACGTCATAGGGTACTATTTTTAGAAGGTCAGCGGACAAGTATTGCTTAAAACATGGCAGCTTATAGTGTGTTTCAGCATATCGTTCGGACGATCCTTGTATCTCGAGTTACTGTTACATTTGCCGTTCAAGCAATGAAGTCGCATTTCAGAAAATAGAAGTAAAAAAAAAAATATGTAAAATATTTCGTAAAATAGAGTTGTAAACAAATTTCAAGGACATTTCGCTAACATAGTAATACTGAACAGTGTTGACATTTTGTCCGCGCTGAGTACCCGGATGATGAGTAATAATGACATCAGTTCTATTAATAGATTTCCGCCATTAAATGACAAGCCCTATTGTCCAAGTTTTCCAAAATTAAAATTAAAATTAGTCTTAGGCAAAGCTAAATAGTTTTGTCCACCCACCCCACACAAAAAAAAAAAAAAAAAAACACCTAAGAGAACGATAATATTTATATTACCATTTTTTTTTAAAAATAGTTTTTCCAAAATAAAACTTGGGAACCCTACAGGTTTATTTTATTCATTCATTGGCGATATTCATTTTGATTTTATCATTATCATGCTCATAAACGTTGTCGTGGGCAAAGGTGAATAATATTGTAAAAACAAAAATCATAAGGATGGTAACATTTCCACTATTAT